CAACCCTATCAAAGCTTAGGATATTTAGACCTCGTAAACTATTGTACATTCCAAGGATAGGTGGCCAAGTTATTACAAGAAATGACACCTATAAATATCTTGGTGCTATGGTTACTACTCCCCACCTCATGTTTCACAATTCTCACCAAGGATATTGTTCAAAACATCAAGGAACGTCGCTTCTAAGACCATTACAGTACTTAACTAACAGATGTGTAAGTGCCTCCCTGAGAGTCCTAAGGTTGTTGTGTTACGTTCATGATAGACTACGCAAGCACAATTCTTCATCTGCTGTCACCGAGTACCCTCAAACCCCATGAAATTTTACAGAACAAGGCCTTTGAATTATATTTGGATGCCCAGTGACGCGAAAGTCCATAGTCTTCATAGTCGTGCCACCATACCTGGCATCAGTCTCCTGCTGCTTCTACCCAGACCACGAATTTCCACTATTTTCTCCAATGAGATTAAATATGGAGTTAGGTAATGCCCGTCCTCTATACTGCCAATATTTTATACCCTACCCTAGAATGGAAAACAACGAACTGCTAATACTATTCTCTTCTTCACTGTATGGATCACTGAAACTGTTGAATTTCCATTGTCACAGAACTCATGTATATGCTCATATTGACAATTAACAGTACCTAAATCCACAACTCCAAAAACAGTCCTAAAATCTCATTGAAATATATAGATGATCCTCTCCCTCCCCCTCATGGTACACCCCCCCCCCATCATGCTGATCCTCATGGAGCAGCAGGGATTTGTGTGTATACTAATTTCTGGTATAGATCTTAAAGAAAGTGTGCGTATTTCCAACTGGGCAAGCTCAAGCGATGCCGAGTTAGTGACCTATATACCATGCTATTAAAAAGGTCAGGAAGAACAGCGACATTTATCTCTCTCTCTCTCAGACACTTCCCAAAATTCCATAAACAACATAGAACACTCTAATAACTTCTTTGCAGAAGTAAGTCGACGCACTTTTGAACAGACAACCGCCCCCACATATCAACACAACATAAACGAAACGAACATAACAAACTTTTTCAGACCGGAATCTGTAGTAGTAAAAACAATACTCCTAGCAATTAAAAACACTTAAAGACAAATTCCGTGAGAGCAGATGGAATTGCACACCGTTTCATAGCCGATAATTTGTCAACAATTGCATACTACCTGACAGTAAGTATTAATACATCTATAGTCACCGGTGTTTATCCATCACTTTGGAAACACGTCATAACTACTATTTTCAAATCCGGTGACAGAGACGAAATAATTATCGACCCATCACTATACTAGCAGTAATATCTAAAGTTCTCAAGAAAATAGTTGCAAACCAATTAACATTTCTAGACGCGAATAACCTTATATCTAACACGTAACACGATCTTAGGAATAAATTGTCAACCGAAACGGCATAACGAAAAGTCACAAATGAAATTTATAATAACATAGACAACAACCAGATCAATTTGCTCACTCTATGTGATCTATCGAAGGCCTTTGCCAGTGTCAGCCATGAATTACTTGTAGACAAACTAACAAACCACGAAATTGATAATTTTTGGTTAAAAATCAGTCAAAATCCATGAAAAAAGTATCATCAAAGCAATCGGTTTCGTTCGGTGTTTCACAAGGCTCCATCCTTAGCCCAATCTTTTATTCATTATCTTCATAAATGATATGTCATCAATTGCAAAAAACTGTCTTCTTGTTCAGTACACCGACGACTCGCAACTTCTTCACGCTGCCTCTGTAAACAATCTAAATGAATTGATAGAAAAGACTAAACAGACCCTAACAGAAGAAAGAAAAAAAACAACAATAAAAACACAGATACAATTATAGAATTCCAAGGTTGCTACATCAAACCCAACACAACAGGAAAAAAAAAATAACTGGGTACACGGAGACAGATACATGGCATTCGAGTCACACATTGATCACATTTAAAGAATATCAATGGGGCACCCTGATATACTTGAATCACATAGAAAATAAAATACCCACGGAAACAAGAATTGTTGTTATACAAACACTAGCACTCAGTATCCTTAATTACTGTCTAAACATCTGGGGCTCCACAAATACAAAGGACACAGAAACTACAGAACTACAGAGTAGCTCTGGGAAATGTAAATGAATATAACCACATCACACCACATATAAACAAACTAAAATGGCTAAAAGTACAACAGAAATACAAATATGACACGTGTATTCTGATCCATAAAATAATACAAGGAAATTTCCCAAATTGGCTTTTACCTACACAAACAACAGGTAACATAACAGGTGTCCTTACAAGGCAAAATAACTCCTTATATATCAAAAGATCGAATACAGAAACCAGGGCAAGAAATATGCAAATCTGAGGACTGGTGATCTGGAACCAACTACCAGAAAATATTAGAAATATCTCCAACCAAAAGACATTTAAAAAAGAAAATAAAAGAACATCTACTGAAATATCAATAACATCAGACGTTTGAACATCGAGTCAAAGTACGGAATTTCAGTCATCTGTGATATTAATGTTCTGTCTAATCTTGTTAAGCATTGTATAATATCTATGTATGTATGTATGTATGTATGTATGTATGTATGTATGTATGTATGTATGTATGTATGTATGTATGTATGTATGTATGTATGTATGTATGTATGTATGTATGTATGTATGTATGTATGTATGTATGTATGTATGTATGTATGTATGTATGTATGTATGTATGTATGTATGTATGTATGTATGTATGTATGTATGTATGTATGTATGTATGTATGTATGTATGTATGTATGTATGTATGTATGTATGTATGTATGTATGTATGTATGTATGTATGTATGTATGTATGTATGTATGTATGTATGTATGTATGTATGTATGTATGTATGTATGTATGTATGTATGTATGTATGTATGTATGTATGTATGTATGTATGTATGTATGTATGTATGTATGTATGTATGTATGTATGTATGTATGTATGTATGTATGTATGTATGTATGTATGTATGTATGTATGTATGTATGTATGTATGTATGTATGTATGTATGTATGTATGTATGTATGTATGTATGTATGTATGTATGTATGTATGTATGTATGTATGTATGTATGTATGTATGTATGTATGTATGTATGTATGTATGTATGTATGTATGTATGTATGTATGTATGTATGTATGTATGTATGTATGTATGTATGTATGTATGTATGTATGTATGTATGTATGTATGTATGTATGTATGTATGTATGTATGTATGTATGTATGTATGTATGTATGTATGTATGTATGTATGTATGTATGTATGTATGTATGTATGTATGTATGTATGTATGTATGTATGTATGTATGTATGTATGTATGTATGTATGTATGTATGTATGTATGTATGTATGTATGTATGTATGTATGTATGTATGTATGTATGTATGTATGTATGTATGTATGTATGTATGTATGTATGTATGTATGTATGTATGTATGTATGTATGTATGTATGTATGTATGTATGTATGTATGTATGTATGTATGTATGTATGTATGTATGTATGTATGTATGTATGTATGTATGTATGTATGTATGTATGTATGTATGTATGTATGTATGTATGTATGTATGTATGTATGTATGTATGTATGTATGTATGTATGTATGTATGTATGTATGTATGTATGTATGTATGTATGTATGTATGTATGTATGTATGTATGTATGTATGTATGTATGTATGTATGTATGTATGTATGTATGTATGTATGTATGTATGTATGTATGTATGTATGTATGTATGTATGTATGTATGTATGTATGTATGTATGTATGTATGTATGTATGTATGTATGTATGTATGTATGTATGTATGTATGTATGTATGTATGTATGTATGTATGTATGTATGTATGTATGTATGTATGTATGTATGTATGTATGTATGTATGTATGTATGTATGTATGTATGTATGTATGTATGTATGTATGTATGTATGTATGTATGTATGTATGTATGTATGTATGTATGTATGTATGTATGTATGTATGTATGTATGTATGTATGTATGTATGTATGTATGTATGTATGTATGTATGTATGTATGTATGTATGTATGTATGTATGTATGTATGTATGTATGTATGTATGTATGTATGTATGTATGTATGTATGTATGTATGTATGTATGTATGTATGTATGTATGTATGTATGTATGTATGTATGTATGTATGTATGTATGTATGTATGTATGTATGTATGTATGTATGTATGTATGTATGTATGTATGTATGTATGTATGTATGTATGTATGTATGTATGTATGTATGTATGTATGTATGTATGTATGTATGTATGTATGTGTGTGTGTGTGTGTGTGTGTGTGGTGTGGTGTGTGTGTGATGTATGTATGTATGTATGTATGTATGTATGTATGTATATATATATATATATATATATATATATATATATATATATATATATATATATATACATACACACACACATACACATATATGTATGTTTTCAGTTATGAAATGAGTTAACAAATAAGGCGAGCACTAAGGTGCAGGTTTTTATGCGTTCATATTAATGTTTGTATTCCTGGATCTGAGTATCAACTGCATCCGGTAGTGGGAATACGGAGTCACTGCATAAAGTTTTATTGACAAAGGATATAGAGAACCTATATGAATTTCAGGGATGCAAGTTACACCAATTAGACCAACAATGTATCACATAACAGTAACGAAAATTATACAAGACTGAACTCCTTGGTTTCTTCACCCCCACCCCCCCTCTCTCTCTCTCTCTCTCTAGTCCGTGCATTTATAAATATATATATACATGTACATACACGTATATACACACATCCATCTATAACCAAATACAGGATAGGAGACGTGACCCAGGACATGTATGCGTGCGTGTGTTCCTGTGCCAGTCTTCCTATAAATTGAACGTAATAGGAAATAAAGTCACTCGCAGTTCCATCGTCGACGAGGTAAGGACGGGGCTCGCTTCTCCGAGGTCCATTTTTTCCCTGTTCTGCTTTGCTCTATGAGTTCATTAGGTTCAACTGTGTTTATGGAATTATCTGCACCTGTGTGTGTGTGTTTCTGTGTGTGTTTAAAGTTTCGTGTGGGGGCGAGGTGCCGGGGGGTTCAGTGGGAATGGGTTTATATAGATAAAGAATTTATATATGTGTTTGTGTGTGTGTGCGCAAACACATGTATGTATGTATATGTAAATATATATGTATATGCACACACACACACACACAGACACAGACACACACACACACACACGCACACGCGCACACGCCCACTCGCACACGCCCGCATACAAATATGCACACACACACACACACATATATATATAGAGAGAGAGAGAGATAGATAGATTATATAGATTATGTAGATCATATATATATATATTTATATTTATATATATATATATATATATATATATATATATATATATATATATATAGATAGATGTAGATATATAGATATAGATATACATAGATGTATAGATATAGATGTATCTATCTATCTATATCTATATCTATTTATCTCTCTCTCTCTCTCTCTCTCTCTCTCTCTCTCTCTCTCTCTCTCTATATATATATATATATATATATATATATATATATATATATATATATATATCTATATATATATATATATATATATATATATATATATATATATATATATATATATATATATATTTCTACACGTGCCCGATTATCACCATCATCATCATAATTACTATCAACATTATCATTATTGCTAGCATGTACCAACTGCTTTCTTAAACCCGATGATAATACCGGTTATGCACACAGAAAAAAATGAACTGACTCCTACTGATTACAAAATGATATCCATATTACCAGTGAGCCAATTAACCATTTGTTATACGGTGACGATGGAAGACTATAGCAGGGGCAATGCTAGCAGCTTTTTTCATTTATGCAAGATGATCAAGTTGCTAATTTACTGCCGCAGATGTTCGCTTTCCGCCGAGTTTTCTTTTCCACGCTGGTGATGGCCGCGGGCGTCGTCCTCCTGATGCCTCTCCAGGTGAGCGCAGGTGCCGGAGGAGGCCGTGGCGCTGTCTGCCTGCCTCTCTACATACATACGTATCTATACATACACACATGTATAAATAGCCTACACACACACACATGCATGCACACACACACACACACACACACACACACACACACACACACACACACACACACACACACACACACACACACACACACACACACACACACACACGAGTACGAGTGTGTGTGTGTGGATGTGTACGGGTGTATGTGTGTGGATGTGTACGAGTGTATGTGTGTGCGTATTCAAAAGCAGATATATGCTAAATATTGCTATATGCTATTAACAACGCATGTGTGTGCATTAGGAATAAATGGCTAAGTAATCACGCACATGCATAATTACACAGCATTTTGCACCACTGACAACGCACTGGCACCCTAAATTTAACATGAAATATGCTCGTAAAACTATTGGAAATTTTCTGGTGTCCTGCAACTGCCCCTTACCCATTTAAGAATATTTCATTCGATCATTACAAACGGGCAAGCGAACATCCCATTATTTGCTTAGAATTATATCTTCAATGAGAGTTCATTCTTAGGTTTATAAAGCACTTTCCTTCCTTGAAACAGGAAACAAAAAATAAAGTAGTGGTGATATGGTGCCATTTACATTACGACTAAAACTACTCGAGGTTTGCCTGATCTCCGTTGGTAGTTTCATTAAATCATTAGTGATTTCCTGAATATTCTTTGTTTCTTTGTTATCATTTTTAAAGCAGCTATCTCTGTTATTTGGAATGAGAAGAAGATAGGGGAAGGGATGGACCGGTTAGTGGCATAGGGACAGAAATGGAGCAAAACAAGAGTACACGTAATAATTAATTCCCTGGGACCCGCATCCCCACGCTTCCCCTCCCACAGACAACGGCCGATGGGGGTTCCAACCATCACCACCAGGCCAACCATCAACAGCCCAGCTACCCACAGCATCAGCAGCCCAGCTACCCACAGCATCAAAAGGCCAGCTACCCACAACATCAAAAGGCCAGCTACCCACAGCATCAACAGCCCAGCTACCCACAGCACACACAGCCCAGCTACCCACAGCACACACAGCCCAGCTACCCACAGCACACACAGCCCAGCTACCCACAGCATCAAAAGGCCAGCTACCCACAACATCAAAAGGCCAGCTACCCACAACATCAACAGCCCAGCTACCCACAGCACACACAGCCCAGCTACCCACAGCACACACAGCCCAGCTACCCACAGCATCAAAAGGCCAGCTACACACAACATCAACAGCCCAGCTACCCACAACATCAAAAGGCCAGCTACCCACAGCATCAACAACCCAGCTACTCACAGCACACACAGCCCAGCTACCCACAGCATCAAAAGGCCAGCCACTCACAGTACCCTACGCACCAGAATCCGACTTACCACGTACCAGTTGTGCACCATACCATTCGAAGACCCACCTACCATCAGAGGCCTTTGTACCATCACTAACCGATATGTTATCAATGGTCCAATTACCACAACAACCACCAACACATATCACTATCCCTAAAGGCTCCAGTACCATAATGACAGTACTTAGCATTAGCTTTAGCAACGTGAATCATCGCCATGGCCGAGACAGGCCAAGATGAAAGATTAAATGGTACATGTTTCACGTCCTTGGGTGTGTCAGTGCTTCCAAGCTTCTCTCTGCCTTTTTCTGTCTGTCTCTCACACATGAGCACGTAAGCACAATTTGTAAATTCGTGTAATATTTGCACTATTTCTGTCGCTTAAGTAATTTCGTGTAACTGGTTTTATTCTACCAGGAATGCATTTGTATAGCAATTAACCTTTATGTAATGGCAATTTATGTGGTAAATTATGAAGGCACAATGTGAGTCGTAGTATACTGTTATAATGAATAAACAAACCGTAGCACCTTTAAAAAAAAATTATAAGTCACCCAACCTTCTTACTTTGTCCTCGTGTACGTATGTGTGGCACCTGCATTTAACACACGTACATGTACAGTACAATCACATATGAAGCCTTCTCTATTTTTTTTTCGGGTGTGTTTGTTTGTTCGTTTTCATTACCTATTAAGTATCAATCGCCGTTAAATAACTCTTTACCGTGTAATATGAGCTTTTCTCTCAAGGAAAACACTGTTCTCGCCTACAACCAAATCCTTCCTAAAGTGAAGGCCGCGGTGCACCTGCTTGCCCCCCGCCCCTTCCCTTCTTCGCCAGGCCTTGGATTTGCGTTCTCTCTCCGATGGTTAATGGTTACAAAGCAAAATGAATGTGCTACACATCAAAGGTCATACAGAACTAATAGAAAGGCTTAGTAGTTCAGCAGTTCAGGATATATGGCAATGACAGGGTCGAGAGGGTGTGTAAATAAGTTAAGGTAGGGATTGACATGGCTGATTCGGTCAGAGTTGCCAAAGGATGCAAGGGTGTCCGCAGCGTAAGGCAGGGATTAGCAAAAGGAGAAAGGGGGGGTTTAAGGGCGATTAGATCACACTTTCAGGAGAAATGTCGCGAGGGAGAGAATCAAGGGAAAGGGGTTGTTGAGAGACGTGTATCCTGGGGGAAGTGGAAGGGATAATGGTGAAGGAAGGGGGATGATGCAGATGAAGCAGAGGGAAATGGGATTTTTTGGGAGGGAGTGGGAGGAAGGGGTATAGGGGGAACATGAGCAGGAGGTCCAAGGCAGGGGTGGTCCCTTACCTTGGCCCTTAGTCTCCGTCTCGTAAGCCCCCAACGGTAACAACGGGCATGGGATGGGGGAGGGGTCTTTTCCCCGAGTCTTTTGTTCCTCAGGGTCAGTGGTTCCCAAACTATATTACTTGACGCCCCCATTTTGCTTCCAGTAGAAGAGCACATAGTCACATGAACTACATATGTACTATACAACGACAGCAGGACTTCACACACCCCTTGTATTCTCCTCATGGAGAAACCACCGGTCTAAGTGGATGGGTAAATGCGAGGATGAATATACGAGTAAGTGGGTGGATGAAGGAATGGCTGTCAGATAGGTAGATGAACAGATAACACATAGAAGGATAGGCGTTATGTGGATGAATATGTTTGAGAAGTATGTGTACTGTATATGCAAAGGTGGATTGTACCTGTGGTACTTTTGCATTCGGTT